GAAACAAGTCTCTTGCAGCTCCCCTCCTGCCACTACTGAACTATGTAGTAATAGAAGTTATGATTCTCTGCATCACATCTTAATGTTACAAGAAGGTATAAATTAGTGAAGCATAAAATATAAGAGCGCTTGATTTTACTTTTTTTATCCTTACATCAAGCCTTATAAACTCACAGTCATTCAAGGGACTAAATTTCAAATTACAATTACGATTCGCAATTACAATGCTTGAAGATCCTGTGATTATACGAAGTGACAAAATATATGGCTGCCTACTTTAATGAGTACAAACTGACTTGCGCAAGTGATTTGAATAGTTCCGTAACGCAGATGAAGCAAAGTGCACACATTTCTGTATATTTCTGAAACTCAAGCCCTAGTGTTTCTTCTAGTGTAACTGTCTTATATATTTATCTATATATATATACACGCACATTTAAATAAAAGGGAAACAGAAAAAGGCACTTTATCTGAAAGAAAAGCTCAAAGCTTAAATAAAATCCCTAATTTTTTCATTTTTCTTACCATAGCCTGCCTCAGCATCCCTCCTGATCTCAGTTGTTTATCTTCTTCGACCACTTTTGTGTAATACAGCCCCTTGCCTAATAATAAAACCACTTGCCACAGGGAGTCTGCTTCGCAACCACCATTTTAAAAGAGAGGACCACAGAGGCCTCTCTGGGCAACATAAAATGCCGGCTCTCCAAGGGTCATTAACGGTAAATGAGTATCTTCCCCTGTGTACTTCTTCCCCATATGCAGTAGCCTTTTAACTAATTAATACCGTAATAAACTCACTAACAGAAATGTCCTGCAGGCACCATGTCTCCAATCCCACAAAGACCTCTATATACTTGGTGCTGATGGGAGCTGAGCCGAGGCAGAAGTATGTGCAGAATCAGGGCCATTAACATACAGTTCTTTGGCCTCTGCTGGATGAATCGCATTGCTAGCCACTGCATGTCCTGAAATTATTTCCAATATTTGAAGCTACAAGATACAAGCTTCCACGGGAAGGCAAATGTAGAGATTTGTCTTATAAAAAAACGTATTTTGCTTTTGGAAGTAAGCCAGGACACTCATTTCTTGCTGAAAATGAACTGACTGAAACAGGTAACATGGCAAACCAGCTATATGCATTTACCACTCAAACGAGACACAACGATGAGTTTACATAGATTGGGAAAAAGTTAGTATTCTACCTACCAGTAGTTACCCCAGGCAAGTAGGATTTCACTTGACTACAATGAAACTGCAGAATTTGGAGAAATAAGCAGAGTATCAAGAATCCCATTCGGGCTCTTCAATTTAAGTTACTATTCAAGAGAGAAATCTTCTCTTGTGAAGAGTACGGGATAGATGGGCAATCGTCTGGCTGTAATTGCAGCACACAGACCCTCGGAGTTACGGCTGCTTTTGTAATGAGGAATGTTAACACTTACATCACTTTGGTTGATGTACACAAAATGTACACGTGCAGCATGGATGCAGCCTGTTTTCTGCAAGAACCGGCTACATGCTAGACTGGTATTACGGCACATTTCAAATGTCACTAGGCACTTAAGTTTCATATTTTGTAGGATATACACGAGAAAGGCATGTAGCAATTAGTTTTGTTCAGCCACCAAAAAATTAGCTTATCCTTGTGTTGAAACAAACAGGCCTACATTCTGAAAAGCTTACGAAGCAGAACAGAGCACGCTTGGAGTTAGAAATTTTCCGTGATCAACAGGTTTAAAGAGGGTTAAGCTATTCTTAGGCGTGTTGTAAGGACTGCTCTTTTCACCTAGGAGACACAGCAGTTCGAGAGGTTTTCGAAGAGACTGGCATTAAGTCAGAGTTCAAGTCCATCCTAAGCGTAAGACAGCAACACAGACACCCCGGAGCCTTTGGCAAGTCGGATATGTACATCATCTGTCGCCTGGAGCCCTCCTCCTTCAACATCAGCTTCTGCCAGCAGGAGTGCCTGAGGTGTGAATGGATGGACCTCGGTGAGCTTGCTAGGACGAAACACGCTACTCCCATCACCAGCAACGTAGCCAAACTCTTACTTTACGGGTACCGGGAAGGGTTTGATAAGATTGATATAACCATGAGAGAGTTTCCAGCTGTCTACACAGGCCTGTTCTACAAACTGTACCACAGGGAGCTGCCCGAGTCCTATAGAAACATTACATGATAGCAATACGTTTCACATTTCATTATATTAATAATTTAGAATTATTATTGTAGTGTTATTTGGACCATATTAAAATTATCCAAGGACTTCTTTTTAGGTAATTATTAGAAGGTAATTATTTATTCTATTCTCTAATAAGCTACAGAGAGATAAATTATTTTAAAGGTAAATATTGCTGTAAGTGTGCATCAGATTTGCTTTCCTTTACTCTGTAAAGCAAACATAAGGTAAATAAAATAGCTCTACATAGGTATCTAGCAGAAAACAGAAGTGTTATTGATCCTGAAAATGTATTTTCCAAGTAATTTTACCTCCACGCACACTGGCACAATAGGTTTAAAGAGCGATATAAAGACAGTATGAAACATTCATGTTTTAGTCTGGTATCTGCAAAAGTAGTTAATATCAGCAAATAATTGCTTATATTTTTGCTACTTCGGAGAGGAGTAAGAAACTCGACGTCTTTAGTGTAGTGTGGCATATGTGCTCGGAATCCGCCATGGAAATCAGCTTTTAGCAGACATGGGAAGAAAAAGGATAGCTTTCTGTCCAGGTCCAGTTTTTGGTCCAGGTTTGTACTGTCCAGTTCTTTTCAGTGCCACGTACCAATCTGAGTACTTCCGTGATCGGTAAGTGTTATAGTTATTAGATTCCAAACGCTCAAAAAAGAAACATTCTTCTGTTGCACATTTCTGAAAGGGAAGAAGAAAGGATTATTGATACTCCATCACAACAATCAGTTCTTCAGATTCATGGGACTAACTTACCAAGAACATAAGTTAGCAAGACATTTGGTTTTAAGAAATTCACATTACGTGTTTCCTGTTTAAAGAAAGAGTTATTGTTAAAATATAGCTTTTAACTATGATTCATTTATTGTCTGTAACACAGACCAAGCAGATTCTGGTTTGTTTTCACTATCTAATTCTTCGTTCTGATTTGAAACTCGGTCAAACAAATTAAGAATTCCATCCCCTGGCACTTACTGATAGATCCTGACTTCCAAGCTCAGCAGTTTTGCCATCTCATCCTCGGTTATAATTTAACAAAAAACAAAAAAAAAAAAAAAGGCAAAAAAAAGCAGGACGTGAGAGAAAAGGGAGTATTTCCCTTGCCTTCCTCAAACCAACCTTTTTATCAGATCAAGTACGGCTATGGAATTATTCTGCTTCTGGAAGTAAGCTTTCAAAAACAACTCCACCTACAGGGAATTAACATGCCTTCACACCTACAAATAAAAAAGAAGGTTGTTCTTCACACAACAGGTAAAAGTTGAGCTGTGCAGCTGCTTACCAGTTATGGTTTCCCCCAGCTCACACGGATTCAAGTCACTTTTGCACAAGTTCATGGAAAAGAAATTCACTGAAATTTACTAAATAGGTAAAAACCATTCTTGGCTGAGAGGGGTTGGAGGCTGGGAGATCAATACAGGGAATTCCTAGGTATGTCTTGTCTTACACGCTGCATTTGATCACCATCAGATAGAAAAAACGCAACATCATATAAAGCCCTCAAAAGGTAAGCCTGCCGTTGATGAATACAGTGTGATACACCTCTTCGCACATCTCTGTGCACGGCAGAAACCGCTGCTCCCTCGGGGTGACCACACCGAAGAGAAAGAGTCTTCCTTTTCAAATGACCCCATGCCTATCGGTGAGATCATGCAAGGTAGGCAGTATCTATTGCAAGGCTTTAACCCACCAATTTTCCTGGATAGTTATTATTGCCTGGGGGACTTAAAACCAAGCTAATTTAACTCTGACTAGTATTTATAGCTGTTCAGAGTCACCAGAAAACAGGAAAGTTTATTCAATTTTTGAAATCCACCAAGAAACCACACGGTTCCTCTGTATCCAAAACATAAGAGGACGTACAAACAGCTCCAAATAAGCTCTCATTCTGTAGGAAGAGGATTGCTATCGGTGTTTAACTGCATTTGCCCCACGGCATATTCGCAACAGCAGAAGCCCTGTCAGCGGACAACGTTGCTCTCGTAGCGGTCACAGTGGCAAACCTGCCTGCAGAACCGGCGCTTCAAGCAAGAGAAGTTATTTTCTCAAATATAAAGATGGCAGAAGTTCAACACCGCAGGAACTTACTGGAGCGGGGGGGCACTTTGTTTTCATATACACCGTTTGTCAGTCCAGCAACTCAGTCATACTCGTTTACCCAGAAAAATGTGGGAATGCCGGAGGAGGAGAAAAGCTAGTCATCAGCAAGAAAGCATCTAAAATCTTGGAGAGGAGACGGGGACTGTGAAGCAATTCCCCAAATGAGCAGGCTACTCTTTGTTACAATGTTCTGTTAATATTAATGAATACACACAGTATCCAACTAGAACTAAAAAGGAGCTTGGAACAACTAGACTCCACACAGTATGCACGAAAACATACAAGAGTAACTGGTATATGCCAAGTTTCTGTAGCTACAAGCAATTAAGTCATTCGGCTGCAGTCTGGAATAAAGTGATCTGTCTCCAAACATATGTCTTCAAATGGAAGGGTTGTTTTTCTCCACTTCAACCATTTTCAAATATGAATTTTGGTTTCCAAGGAAAAGAACTTACAAGAGAAAAATCCATACGCAATTTCTCATTTCTGTAACTCACTAATATTTTTACATTTCAAATAGCAGAAATCAAATTAACAATTTTCATATGATGTGTAGTTTAAATAATCTTTCTCAAGATAAATCGTATTTTAATGCCTTTTGTTCCAGCAAAATGTGGAAACAGATGCATTAATCATCTCAAGCCACAGATCCAAGCCTGAAAGGGATTACAGCAGCCTTCGGAGGGCACAGAAACTGTATAAAGAAAAGAAGCATTTAAGAACAAAACCAAACTTTAAGCAGAGTTTAGGCAAGTTCAGTACAACCATCCAGGCTGGAAATTCTGGCAAAGAGACCATCGCAGCCGGCTCACACCTCGCCTTCACCTCCTACCCGAAGCTGTGGCACTTCTGGAAGCACCAAGACAGCGGGCACCACGGGCGCTGGGGAGGTACCGGGCAGAGCACGGCCTCCGGATGCCGCAGCACCGGGTTTCTCTACGCGCGCTGCCCGGGCGATCCCCGTCAGGTGCAGCGCCGGAGCCGGGGGGTTGGATCAGACGCCCCACACCTGCGGGAACCAAGTCTTTACAACCTCCACGAGGAAGGAAACAGCTTCCAGCACGCCCGTGGTGAATTTAAGCAGCCACTGCAAGATCCCATGTACAGACAAAAGGCAAATTCGCACGACCCCCTCTCCTATGCACTAAATTCACAAAGTGGACACAGTCACAACTCAGAGAAGCACGTTACTTTTATTTAGCCTTCCTCATCTTTCTCAGGTTTAAAAAGTAAAATAGATTAAACTCCTCAAACAGATTGTCAGGCAATTTATAGGTGTTATAAAAAATAATAAAAAAGGGTAAAAAAAGAAAAAGATAGGTAAAAAGAAAAAAGATGTGGGGTTGGTTGGTTTGTTTGTTTTTACATTCATAAAGATCTTTTGAAAGGTGCCACGCGATTCACTCTGGGCACTGAAGTCCTTATTTCTCCACAAAGCATACGTGAGACCAGTGCTTTCCTACAGTACACTGCCAATGTAATTTTAACATCAAAGTGAACATTTAGGTGACAAATGATAGTTCAGGCTTCATGAACTATGTATTCCTTAACATCTGCCAAAGGCGACATCTCCGAAGCCGGACTGCTGTCCAGCAGGAGTGGGATGCCCGCCACCGCGTTGTGAATCTCAGCCCCTGGAAAAACCCTGGATATCAATGTTTTTTTTTAAATACGCTTTGGTCTAGGCTGCATTCGAAGCAGTGATCTGGCAGTGAAAGCCTTCACAGCACATCATAAAATACCCGAACTCTACAGCCCTTTGTGAAAAGAATAAAGGAAGGGAAAACACTTGGGGCAGCGGCAGGGAGCAAGTGCCACTCGGCGCCTGCCCTGCCACCAGCCAGTATTTTGTCTGCTGCCCAGCAAGACCTCCATCCAGGAGAAGTCTGAATAAATAAAACGCAGAGTGCAGGAGTTTTTAATGTTAGCAGTTGGTTGTAGCCGTGCTGGTACTACAGTCTGCCGTGTGCCACCGCTTACAGTAGCCAAACCGTAACGACCGCCAAAATCCTCAAGGTGATTCACCCAGGGCAGATTAATTGACCCAAAGAGGCAGAAGCTTCTGCGACAAACTTCTTCCCCCCTTATTTGCACGGCCAAATGCCACCCACTGATTGATTTTTCAGTGCAAACTGCATCTGCCGTAGTATCACATTTTGCCAATTAACTAGTTTTGACATTTTGGACTCAGATTAGGAATTAAAATACCTCAAGTTGTTCACTCTTAAAACTGAAACCAGAGGGTTAACCTGTAGCTACCACAGCAGATGGCATATGACCCGAGGCAGGTGACGATCACATTTAGCCTTTCCTAACCATGAAGGGGCCAGGAAATGAAGGTTATTCTCACAAATGTTCCTGTACCACGATTTTAATCCGTAATATCAAAAGAGAAGAATTTCCCTTCAAGTCCAGTCCTTCAGTCTGGCAAAACCTGCCCAATCATAGCGAAACCACGTAAGCACAACAGACAGAACGAACAGGTTGTATTCCTAAATAAGAAATTATTTCTTGTGAAATACAGAAGCTAGTCAAAAGTGCAATTCTTTCTTTTATGGGAAATTTTGAGAAATTTCTTCATGAAATGAAATAATCAAACACATTTAATTCCTTAACGTGAAAATATTTCATTATTATAATTAAATGATACTGGAAACTCAAAATAAGCCATATCACAAGTGAAATGTTTCAATTTTTCCATTAAAAATCTGATGGAACAGATACATTTCTGCACAAATATTTTTAGTTAAAACAGGATTTTCCAAGGGAAGGCTTTGACTAGCTGCATTAATAACCAGCCATTTCCTCCAGCGACTGAACTGGTAAAGATTACCTCGCCCCCACAACAACTGAGTCTGCTAGTAAACAGAGGATGAAACTGCTCCATTGCAAGCCGTACCATCCAGCTTTCAAGACCAGAACGCGATCCGCTGCACCACCACGCAAATCACCCGTGTAAGTAGCGATATGCGGGTATGCCATAGATCATTTTGCAAAACCCAACTCAGAACAAACCATAAAGACATGTCTCGACCAAGTAATTACAAAACATCCCACTAGATGAAAAACAGGACTGAATAATAATTTGCGGAAGTATTTTTGAAGATGTTGATATATT